CCATCCATCCATCCATCCATCCATCCATCCATCCATCCATCCATCCATGCATGCATCCTCACTTTTGCTGAGTATTCTGTCCTGTCTCCAAGGACAATCGAAGCTGTAAGACATACTTTGATTTGAAAAGACTTAGAATCTTACTATTTCTAGTATCTTCATATCTCCAGTTTGAGCTTGAGGCTCATTAATATTCCAAGTCACATAGTAGTGATGGGTGAAGTAGAGATTTGATCTTTAGTCATTCACATGTTTGTTGTTGTTAGAGATCTGAGAATCCTATCAAAATTTCCATGCACTAGCCACACAATTGTCAAGAGGCAGATGTAAGAGGTAGCTCAGTTGGTAGAGGGTTTGCCTAGCATGCATGAGGCTCTAGTTCCATCATCAGCAATGCATAATCCAGGCATTGTCATGAATGCCTATAATCCCATCACTCTGGAGACAGAGGAAGGAAGGTCAGAAGTTCAAGGCCATCCTCAGTCCAGGGCACTTGAGAGCTTTGCCAAAAAAAAAAAAAAGAAAAAGAAAAGAAGGAAAGCTCCAGGAGACCTGGGGGCCTTCCTATTGTGGTCACATCTGTTGTGTCAGAGTGGCCCGGAGAGCAGAGCCTTTTCTCCAAGGCCTTGTGGACAAGCTCCTTTGCCTTCTGGGTCTTCATTTCTTTGGTGTATGTATGTGTGTTGAAATTTATTTTTATGTGTGTTAGAGTTTTGCCTATATATATGTAATCACCGGATGTCCCCAGAGGCCAGAAGAAGGCACCAGATTCTTGCAACTAGAGTTACAGATGGTTGTAAATTGCCTGTGGGTTCTGGGAACTGAACCCTGGAGCGTTGCAAGATCAGTGGTCTCTCTTCAGCGCCAGGTCTCCGTTTTCTCATCTGTAGAATAAAAGTATTAGAAGACTGAATCTTGAACATTGCATCCATTCCAGAACTTTCTGGGCTTTGCAAATTTCTGCTGTATTGGTGTATTACTGTAGGAAGATTTGCTATCATTATTATTATTATTATTATTATTATTATTAAATTTAGGTTTTTTAACGTATATGAGTGTTTTGCTCCTATGTATGTCTGTGAACCACAGTGTTACAGAGGGTTATGAGCAGCCATGTGGGTGCTGAGAAGTGAACCCAGGTCCTCTGCAAGAACAAGTGCTCTTAACTGCTCCGCCACCTCCTCAGCCCCCAAGATTGGCTATTTTTGAAGAGCACCAAGTAGTTGTGAGGTGCTGTAAGAGACACAGCCACATTGAACTTAATTCTCACAAAGGCTCTAAGAGTCAGACCTTACTGTCATCATTTTATAAATGAAGATAGTAGGGCAGTGTCCTGCTCAAGCCCCGGGTCTCATGACAGAGCTGGGATTTGAACCATGTGCTATCTATGTCTCAGACACTGTATTAGACCTGCAGGGTTATAAGTAGATCCCATGTGGACTCTCTGCTTGTCACTGGGCCCAGGTCTTCCAGGAGACGTGATTGAAAAGGGACGTAACTTCAAGATTATCACAGAGGTCCAGCAGGATGGACAGGACTTCACCTGGAGCCAGTCTTACGCTGGGGGCAACATTATGACCAACAAGTTCACCATTGGCAAAGAATGTGAAATGCAGACCATGGGGGGCAAGAAGTTCAAGGTGAGAGGCCCCTGGCTGCCCTTTCCTGTCCCCCCAGGCCAAAGGCTAGCTTCTCCATTTCAGATATGGCTCCTCTGCTCCCCAGGCTGAGGCTTCTGTCTATAGTTTAGCCTTCAGTATGAAAAACTCTCTTTCTTGGTGTTTTTAATGCTGGGTAATGGCCACCATTAGAAAGGAACACAACCCTGAGACACAAATAGCTGATGTGCTGGTGTGGTGGTGCATGACATTAATTCCAGCACTTGGAATGCAGAGCTAGGAGGTTCGCTGTGAGTTCCAGGCCAGCCTGGTCTACACAGTGAGTTCCAGGACAGCGAGGGATACACAGAGAGATGCTGTCTTAAACAAACAACCCCCAAATTCAAACAAACATAGTCTAATTTTCTGAGCATGGTGCATGCTAGTAGTTACAGCACTTAGGAGGCAGAAGCAGGCCATCTCTGTGAGTTCTGAGCCAGTGAAGCCTACACAGTGAGACCTCTTCTCAAAAAGAACTAAAAAAGCTGGGTGGTGGTGGCGGCGGGTGGCGCACACCTTTAATTATATTAATTAATTATATATATACATATATATATATACATACATATATATAATTTTTATTTTTCGAGACAGGGTTTCTCTGTGTAACAGTCCTAGCTGTCCTGGAACTCACCCTGTAGAACCAGGCTGGCCTCAAACTCACAGAGACCCACCTGCCTCTGCAGGATTAAAGACGTGTGCCACTACTGCCAGGCCTACATGCTATTTTTAAAAGACCTTAATTGATGCCTAAAACTTGTTAGGCTTGTTAGGCTTTGTATTCAGTGCTCTGTCTCTCTCCCAGGCCACTGTGAAGATGGAGAACGGGAAGGTGGTGGCAGATTTCCCTAACTATCACCAGACCTCGGAGATCGTGGGTGACAAGTTGGTGGAGGTGAGTTCGTAGAGGTTTCTATTATTTCTATTTCATTATTTATTTATCTTTATTTTATGTACATTGGTGTTTTGCCTACATGCATGTCTGTGTGAGAGTGTTACATTTTGGAGTTACAGACAGTTATTAGCTGCTATGTGGGTGCTGGGAAATGAACCCAGGTCCTCTGGAAGAGCAGTCAGATCTCCCAACAGCTGAGCCATCTCTCCAGCTTCCTATTATTTCTGTTTTTAAAAGGTGCTTTATGAGGCTCAGAGACAGCCTGTGACCTGCCTGAGGTCACAGAGATAGCACATTGTGGAGGCAGACCCTCTTAGCTGATTTCTAGAGGAAGTTCTCAGTCTTTCCTCGAAGACCAGTGGGTCTCTGCCACCCTGCCATGTTTCTTTCTCATAGAATTAAAATACATCTGAACATGGTGGCAAATGCCTGTGATCTCTGGAGGCCAAAGCAGGAGAATCTTGAGTTCCAGATCAGCCTGGACTAGAGTGAGACACTGATCCCTCAAATCACACCCACCCACCCACCTACCACCACCTACCACCACCACCCACCACCACCACTCACCACTCACCACCACCACCACTACCACCATCACCCACCACCCACCACCACCACCACCACCACCACTCACCACCACCACCCACCACAACTCACTATTCACCACCACCACTACCACCATCACCCACCACCCACCACCCACCACCCACCACCACCACTCACCATCTACCACCACCACCACCACACACCACTCACCACCCACCACCAGGGGATATATTTCAATGGAAACTGCATGCTTACTTATATAAGGTTCTAGGTTCAACCCTCAGTACTGTCAAAATCAATACTATTGAATTGATACAATAAGATGACAATAAGAATTAGAAAATAAATGTGGTAGTGTTGAAACAAAAACAAACAAAAAGGTGGTCCAAAGGATAAACTGCTTGCCATCAAGTCAGAGGATCTGAGTTCGATTCCTGGGACCCACATGATGGAAGGAGAGAACTAACTCCTGCAAGCTGTCTTCTGACCCCCGTGCACACATGGCACAGGCGCCCACACACATGAAAAGAACAAAGGCGTCTTCTGATCTGGGTGAACACGAGCCCACTGGGAGATCTGATGAGAGCTTCCAGTGAAATGTCAGCCAGTGGGTCCTGATTCCCAAGGTTCCCAGGCCTGAGCTGTGCAGGGAGATCTGAGGGCAGGAGACTTGAAGCTTCGTGTGCACAAGACTTAATCTTCACAGGCTGAACCAACCCTCAGTTTGCTCCCCTGTATAATGGGAACAACCCCCTGGGGCTCCTGGGAATTATAGATGGGAATAACGTGAAGAGGGGCCTGGCAGGCAAGAGTCAACAGGAGCAGTGGTAGAATAGGGGCTGACCTACCCCCAGCCCATCACTCTTGCTTCTTTCTGTTCAGCATGTGACCACATTTGCTCTGCAGTGGATCCTGTAACTGACACGGAATCTAAGCCCCAGAATGCAGTGCGCCTGCCTTGCATCCACCAGGAATGGCAATGGTGGCTGGCCTTGCTTCCTCTACACCCACGATCACCTCAGGGCCGCTGCCTGGGGGAGTAGCACTGATGTCCTATGTTCTGGTTTCTTCTTTCAGATCTCCACCATTGGGGGTGTGACCTATGAGCGCGTAAGCAAGAGGCTGGCTTGAGCCACAAGCTCTGGGCTCTGAGGGGCTGCAACCCACCAATAAAAATGCACCATGAACTGCCAATGCTGACTCTGGAGTTTCTTTGTTTCTGTTGACTGGTGTCTTAGGGCAGCCCTGGCCTGAATGGGAGTAGGAAAGCATCCCAGGATGGCTGCACTGACCAAATGTAGGCCCTGAGATGTCTGCAGGTTCTACCACGGCAGAGGGAGGTGTGAATGTTCAATCTGGAGTGCAGTGCTCCCCATCCTTGGCAGCAGCCACGGGGGGAACATGGTGGCACACTTCTGTGGACACCTTGTATCATCTGCCACTGTCTTGTTTCCAGTCTCCTTTAAAGACACAGTTCGGGGCTGAAGAGATGGCTCAGAGCGTAAGAGTGTTCGGCAAGCGTGAAGACGTGAGTTCAAACCTTTACCACCTGAGTACAAAGCCAGGCATGGCTGTACTTATGCCCATAACCCCAGCTCTGTGGGGAGCAGAGACTGGAGAAGCTTTGGGGCTTCATGGCCTCCAGTACACGTTCAGAATCTCCACGTTCAGTGAGAGATTCTGGCTCAAGGGAGTAAGACAGAGGGATGGAGCAGAACACCCATATCTTCCTGTGGCTGCCATGTGTGTACACAAATACCACACATATACCTCACACACAGATACATACCTGTACACAAGGACACTGTTGTGCATGCCTGACTGTCCTCAGAGCCAAGCAATTGCAATCTTGGGGAGTTCAGCTGTGCCCACTTGCAAAAGGACTTTCCTAGCTGGTCTTGTTGACTGTTTACAGCCCCTCGTGGAGGGGGTAAGGAGGGTCATAGGACCCTTAGAACACAGCTTATCCCTCCTACCTGTTGCATGCAATGCTGTCTTAACTGCATATGGCTCCAGGGAGGGGCTAGAAGATATTGGTCCTGGAAGACTCGAGAAGGGAGGCTCCATCTTTGAGGCTATAGGGGAGCTTTTTATCTCTGCTGGGTAAGGCTTTCCAGGTGCAGCCTGTTGGGGAAGGAGCACCCACACCCCTGTAAGGAACCCCTCAGCTATGCTCTGTAAGGAGGTCCAATAAACTCACTGGTTCCCCAAAGTGAACTTTGGCAGAATGGAGCTTCGGTTTGTCCCTGGAACTTAGGTGAAGGAGTAGACGTTACCTTACCCATGTCTTCCCCACCACCGGCCCCAGGAAGGAATTTTATCAACAGACACAGTTGTCTGAGGAGGGTGACATGATTTTCAACACAGGACAAGCCTATCCTGACTCTTGGTGAGAAGGTGTGGGTGGCAGTTACACCTTTAGGAAGAGCCCTGCCTACCAGGCTCCAAGATAGAGCAGACATGGATTCTTTAGCTCTTACCCAGGGAATCCATTTCAGCTTGGTTGTGCAACCGCTGTCCTTTGGCCTCGGTGTATCCACTGGTACCAAAGGGGCTGTAAGGATCACCCAGGGCTGGAAGAAAACAGTAGCCTAGGATACGGCAAAGGTTCTTAGACGTGGCGAGAGAGACTTCCCCAGATGTCCTGGACTGGAACCTGATGTCTGGGAGGAAGTGCTAGGAAGCGTGGGTAGGAGGCTGCTCACTCCATGGTGGGCACCAGAGCCTCGGGTTGAGAAGGATGCTGAAGTGGTGTTTGGGTTTAACAGCTGGTTTGTGACTGCTGATGGGAAACTCAATCTGTCCAGGCATGGAGCAGAGCAGGCAGCCTGCTGGTCCCCTCGCTAACCCAGAGGACAGAACAGCTCTGCTTCCATCTTCCTCGCTCCTTTGGAGTGCTCACCACATCTGGGTATTCACTCAACTTCTTTTCCCCCACTAGTTTTTGTTTGGTATTGTATGAAGTATCATTTAGTTTTATTGTGATGGAAACGTGAGGTCACTTTCCTTTGTGGAAACTCTAGCTCATTCGCCATTGGCAAAGTGAACGGTAAAGAGGTCAAAGATGAGCGATGTTGACTTTGCGAGCAGGATTGTTATCCCAGCCCTGAGATGAGAGAGAGCCCTATCAGTACCCACTGGGATGCTTTATTCCTAACGCAGTGAAATGACGTAAGCCTTCTTGGAAGAGGATGAATTCCTACACAAGAGTTGAACTATCGGCCACACCTGGTGGCACATTCCTGTCACCCCAGCTACTTAGGGAGCTAAGGCCAAAGTATTGCAAGTATAAGGACTATACAGACCAGTGGTTCTCAACCTTCCTAATGCTGTGGCCCTTTAATACAGTCCCTCACGTTGTGGTGGCCCCCAAACATAAAATTATTTCATTGCTACTTCATAACTATAATTTTGCTCCTGTTGTGAATCATAATGTAAACATCGGATATGCAAACCCAAAGGGGTCACGACCCACAGGTGGACAATCCCTGATACAGACCACTAAGCAAGTCCGAAGTCAGCTGGTGCTACAAAGAGTTCAAGGCTGGCTTGGACAAGTGAGTGTGACCCTATCTAAAAATAAAAAAGTACAAAGAGGACTGGGAATGGAGCCCAGAGGCAGAGAATTTGCTCAACATGTATGAGGCCCTGGGTTTAATCCCTAGTGCTGAAAAAAAAAAAAAAAAAAGAAGAAGAGTTGAATTATCAAAGGCAGGCAGGCACACTAAGGTTATCTTGGATATACAAATACTGCATGGCAGACAGAAGAAATAAGGTTTAATGGGGCATGGTGGCACGTCTTTAATCCCAGCACTGAGAAGTAGAAGTAGGCATCTCTCTGTGTGTTAGAGGCCAGCCTGGTCTACATACATAGGAGGCTTCATGCCAGCCAAGGATACACAGGGAAACCCTGTCTAAAAAAAAAAAAGTTTACCAAACACCCATGTAGCAGCTGGCTTGCAGCACAGCTTACTAAGTGGCCCTTAAGGCACTTCTCCTTTCATGTAATCTCTAGGCTTTGGTTTTCAAGGCTTCCTTGGCTTGGACAAAAGTTCTGCCCAGTTCACTGGTAGTGTCCCTTGCGGCTTTCCTTACTCTGTCAAGACTTTGCCCATCTTTTCAAGGATAGCATGCAGAGTCTCCTACCCACCCAACCATCAGCCCATGAATTCCACCGTTTTTGCCAAAACTTACTGCTAATTAAATGAACTAGGTAAGGATTAAATTAAAGGAGTACCATCACTGTTTCCCCTCCAGACTGAATCATTACTCATAGTGGGCTTGGATAATAAGTCGCTGAATAACAGAGTTAACCACAATTAGGCTGAAAATCGTAAGAGGGAGAGGGAGGAAGAAAGGAGAGAGCCGAAGAAGGAATGGAAGTGGGGGGGAGGTAGGGAGAGAGGGACAGAGGGCAGGAGACAGAGGAGAGGAAGGTAGCGAAGAGTTCATTATTTTTTTTTTTTTTTT